TAATGATATTTGTAAATATTTATTAGCTAATCTATGATTTCAAATTAATAAAACTGAGTTCTTTCCTGAAAGCAAAATTAAAGGCACATGTCACAAGGTAATTCAACAGCCATGGGATATGGGATCATCTCCTGGACCACTACTTCAATTCTCAGCTTGGGTAATTTCTGACTTTGCTGTCTTTTTAATGTCTTTTATGTAAATTGAATATTAGGACAGTGTATATAAACAAATTTACATTTAGCTATCAAGCCAGTCCTTGTGCATATTTATATGTAGAAGAAGTAAATAGGTGATACAGGAGGGCTTGGTCCCAGCATTGTTCCTTCTTGGATGCTTCAGAAAGCAGGAGGCTCAGGGAAGGTGGGGCAAAGAAAATAAAATGATGCTTCGGAAAGCAAACAATAACATACACAAGCAGTAATATAATCAGGAATATCTCGCTCACACACACCTTAACGTGGCCAGCATCCTCTGACTAGTGCATACATATATACACACACACACACACATTATGAATGATGTTAATAGTGAAAATCCACAGCAAACACTATGAGAATGAAAGACACTAACACAAAGCTACAAGTATAGAAATGGTGTGTGTGGTTGGTACATGTGCTCAGATCATTTAATAATTCTCTATACCATGTGTTATGTTCATGTCTGGTGTAGAGGATAGTAGAGTAAAGGGCTATTCATGCTTTGTGTGTCTGCATGTTCGCTAGGGTTGAGTGACGTAATTTTCGTCATCTTCCCAGGTCCTCAAGGGTCCACGCGGACTCTTTGCGGAGATCCGCATGCAGGCCAAAAGTTGCGTTCGCATGGACGGTCCATGCAGCAAGAGCCCTGACTACGCATGTACCACAATGCTCCAAAACCGTCAGCATTCGTGGACAGAAAGCAGACCCTCAATTTAAAGTACTGTATGAACAGGAACATGTGCACGTCCCTGGTCCGTGTCCGCATACGCAGGAGGGTAAACGCAACGTATGTCTAGCCCTTAAAGAGGTGAGAAAATAAAGTATGGCAAATGAAAGGTAAAAACCAAATAGTGCTGAAGAGTAGCTTAGAATGATCACTTTTTTTATGTCCTACAAAAGCAGGACTGTGTTCACACCTGACTTTCGTACAGTTCCTGGAGTGCTGTTCCCACCACCTGGTGTCCCGGGGCCCCCTGTCCCTGCCTTCTTCGTCAGTAGACTGTTGAAGAAGTTGGCCAACACACCCTCACTGGTCTGACCTGAAACACACACACAGACTAGAGTTCAAAAACACTCACACAGCCAACACTGACTGAGCGACGGTCACAACATACCCGACTGTGGCATGGCGTTTGCTACGTTGGCTGCAGCAGAGCGATTGCTCGTCCTGGGGGAGCCGGTGGGTGCTCTGCTAGTGGTGTCCTGCAAATAACAATGGTATATTTCACATATTTGAACACTGGAGGGAGGTTTCCTTCATCTTATGAGGAAACCTGAAGAAGAAGAAAAAAAAAAAAAAAAAAAAAGCACGCACCACTGGACGGCGCGATAAATCTGACTGGACAAAACTCTGATGATTTCTGCAGGGATATGGGGTTAAGGTTGGTGCACTGGCTGCAAAACTAATGTAGCACTGAAACTAAATGATACATATAATCAATCTGTTGTGCTGTAAGCTAAACTTGTCTAAGATGATCTTCTAAGTTTATTTTAATCCCATACCTTTCTGACTGGAGGTTTGACTATTACATCCTCAAAGCCGTCATCTGCTTTTACCGTCTGGAAGTTCTCGTGTAATATAGCAATCTTTTTCTCGTTGTCCCACCCTGATGGACTGGTAAAGGAGAGAGAGAGTTAGGAACCACATACAAGCGGTCCTACAGTCCTAGGACCCACACACACACAGCCTTACATGAAGACGGCATCTCTTTCCACCACTTGTGCAGGGCAGTGAAAGGGAAAGCCATAGAGTCTGTGGACTAGATATTTGTACAGGATGTCCAGGTTCTTCATCTCCTTCACTGATGTGTAAACCAGTGACGCCCCATCTGACATGGTTGTCAAGGATATCTTTAACACCATAATTTCTAAATACACTAGCAAAAATACAACCAATACCAAAGTGACAGAAAACATTTCTTGGCAGTGCTACAGAGAAACAGATTCTAGCGTTGGCTAATTGCTAACACTACACAAAAGAAGAGAGGCACTGGGTGTGTAGTCTTGGCTCATTTTAAACACAATAACCATTGAAAATGTAATAGCTTCCACTTAGCATTGACTGAACAACAATTTCAAGCTGTAGTGGGTGATCTTTGAATTTTATCAAACTCTCTTTGTAACAAAGCAACATCAACAATAGTTCAGACAGTGTACAGCAGCCAAAACATTGCAGTACTGCTGGGAACTTTGCCTCTGGCCTGTGAACAAAACACCCTGCAGTGTCAGTCACTTGGGTGCATCATCATCATCATCATCATCCTTCATCACTGAGCAGCTGAACATTAGGAAAATACAGGCAGACATGTGTATGCCAGAAATCTCAGTACCTTACCAGGAAATTACAAAGTCAGTGGTATTGATCAGCAGCCCTGCATATGTGCTGTAGTTTCATTTTCTAAATGTTAATGAAGGATACACTGCAGACAGAAATGTCTGATGTGGGACTGGATGAAGTCCAGGTGTTCATCTCTGTAGTCGTGCTCCTTCTCCAGTGTGCTGATTGCGTCACACTGAGGACACATATGAAGGTGTGTGAGTAGATGCAATAAATCGGCATTATGCTCTGAGATTAAAACGAAAAACTTTTCTTTAACACCATTCTGTTTAGAAATGAGCAAACAATGGATTTTCCAGTTTTCTTAAGTCCTAGAATAATAAAACTTGTGTGACACCTGGACCATGTACACTTATGATGAGTGACATATGTTTCCACTCATAAGCTTTGTATATAATCCAGCAGTGAGTGTGCGTACCTTGGTGCAAACAACCACCACCGGTATGCCCAGGTTGTGCGTGAGTGTGTTGTCTCCTAATGGCAGCAGCACGCTCTCTTCCTCGTCACTCCTCCTCTGTGGGGTGCCATCCTCCCCACTGCCTGGCTCTGTGTACTCCTGGAACTGTTTTACAACTACACATATGCAAACAGCTTAAGGGACACAAACAACTTGGCACAAATTACAATCTGAAACCTTATCATTCTCATAACAAAACCCAGTGGGGGTCTGTGGTCCAGTGTAGTGTTATGCAGGTACAGTTTTCATAACTCCAAGAACATTTTTGTCAAAAAACACTGCTGAATACCACTTTGTACTTTGACTAGTATTTGGTTTGACTGCTGTCAGTATGACTCACGTTTTTGTTCTAGCTCCCGCAGCATTTCAGGGGCGACCCGGAGTTTGTCGATGTGTTCCCTAGCGACAGCAGCCCACTTCTGGAGGGAGTCCAGGGCGTTCCACGGCCGCGACATGTCAACCGTTATCAGCAGCAATGTGTTGCCAATCGAGTCCACTGGTACAGCTACTCCCTGCAGACCTTTGTGGTAAAGGTCTCCATCTAACACCCAGGCATTACACCTAGTGTGATCTAAACACACACACGCGCACACACACAATACACTAAGATTAATACACACTCCTATAAAACCATACTGCTAGTTTATTTTAGTACTGTTTACTCTGTAGTGAAATATTGTGAACTGTAAGCAGTAGTTGGTTACCATCAATGTCGTCGTCATGGACACTGAAGTAAAGGTATTCCAGGCCGCGACCTTTCATGTACTCTTCGACCCCCTGTAGCTTTGCAACCAAGGTGGTCTTCCCCGAGCCCACCTCACCTAACATATAGGTATCCACATAAAACCCGTAAATGTCACACATTAAATATAGTCAGATCTTTTCCATATCAGCATTCACTGCTATACTCATAATAAAGTTTAGTAGTTAAACCATAGGTACATACTTTATTAAATAAGAGTTAGAAAGAACAAGCATGTCAAATGGCAAACTAGCATAGGCCAGCCAACAACACCACACTGCAGCTGAAGGTGTACTATTTGTCCACACATCCTGTTGTCCTTTATCCTGCTATGAGGTGTACTAGTTACACACTACAGGAGTAATACGTACAGTTAAAATATAGAACATAATGTGCCCCAATTCCTATACAAGAATTACACAAAATTGCTTTCATTATTGCTTAATCCACACACTATCTTTAATAAATGTATTAAACATTTGATCTATAAAATCTCTAATGGAAATCTCCTAAAGACTAAGACTTAAAATTGCTTGTTTTGTCTAACCCTCCAAAACCCCAAGATATTCAATTTACTGTCATATAACACAAATAAAATCATGAAATGTTTGGAGTTTAGCAAAATAGTTGTAGATATATTGTCTATCCAAGTAATCAACAAATCGTTGCAGCTCTACACAAACACACATACGCTGTAAACAACAGCAACGCTTCATTGTGCAGTTTTCATGAAGAGTCACCAGCCCTAATAATACACTGTAGTCATACCTGCTGACAAAGTATTGCATCAGCATTTGTTCTGACTCCTGGCGCTACCGCTAAACCCAAACCTAACAGGACGACACTGTTATTGTGTACAATGCCTTGGCTGCACCGCTCTCACGCTGTTATATTGACATAAACCAACAGGGGGAGTCAAATGAATGGTAAAGCAGAGCTTGCCGATGTTGTAGATAGTGCTGCAGACAAATGGCTTTACAACCACAGCCCGCTACCCGCTGTAAGGCGTAGCAGGCTGAGGATTATTACGGCTAGGCAGTGTATATGTGTGTGTGGACAGCAAGAAGACCGAGCGAGACAGGGAGGCACCCTCTCTGCTCCATTGAGCCCCCATTAGCCCCATTCAAACACACACTTGTCTTGCCTCCTCAGCATCATTTCCACCCAGCTGCCACTAGCTTCACTTGATGCTGGAATGACTTGCATGGTTTCAAAGCGGCCGGATTCTCTTTCATAACATGATTATGTCGAATGTGTATGTGTGCGTCTCTGCAAGCGCTTAAAAGTACACCTCCCTGCTAGCCAACTTAAACACTAAAGTACAATAAATCCAGAGCAAACTAGCTTTTCTATCGAGCAGCGTTAAGTCTACCAGGATGAGGCATTCACCAGGTCCAAGGCTATTCATGCTAACGATACCTGTTTGGCTAGTCAGGAGACTGCAGACATACACGGATACCCACCCATGACCAAGACATTTCTCCCGGACGGTAGCTTTGATCTTGAATGGGTTGATACTTCACTCAGGATGGTGGACCTGCACACAGAGCAGCCCTGTTAGAACACGGCGAATCAGGCTTGCTCATTCACTAACAAACAGCGACTGACAACAAATAGCTACAGCGAGCTGGTGCTGCTGTGTCACCAGTGCCCACTGAGTTTGGTGCTGATGCTAGCTAGCCTCATTAGCAGGCTAGCTGTCAAAACCATCCTCATCCCAGCACAGTGGACCTTCTGCGCCCGCAAACCCCGCTCACATTAAACCAGCTTTAGTCACCTGTCAGGGTCACCCACCATAAATTCTGTCCGTCATCTTCCTCTGGGTTGGAGTTCTCCAGTGTGCTCTTAGGTCCAGTTGAATTGGAGGATAATAAAGCACTCCTCCCTGAAGTCGCCATCTTCACAGGGCATATAAACCGAGCTAAAAGCCCGGATGTAGCGGCTGTGTGCTAAACTAGCCTGGTGCACCGTACACCGGGGCCGGGGCGTGGTCCGCCCGCACAAAGCAAGGATTTCTGTACAGACATGGAATGATCTCATCCGCAAGTGACAGATTTGGACCACACCAAGTTATGTAGCTACTGGAAGAAAGTCTGCTACTCGTGTCAAAAATAAATCTGTTTAGGGAAAAGTAGATAAGGCTATTATTTCTGCAAATTAGGGCCGAAACAAAGGCTAGGTAATAGGCTAGCTAATGATCCAAAAAGCCTGTTATAACAATTACACGCTCTTATAAAGTATTTTGCTGCTGCGTACTGTATTCTTGTCCCGGGACGAGTAACCAGAAGAAATGATCAGTTTGCTTTAGATTATGAAAGAGCCACATGTGTTGCAGACAGAATATCCTCTTTAGGTTGCCTAAAATCAGTGCCTTAATATGCGAATAACAGCCTATGGCACGAGGCCTAATCCTTCATGATAGAAATTAATTATATAAAACCATGCAGGATAGAAAAAGGAGGCACTTCAAATACTATTATCCACAGGCTACTAGTTAACAGGTAGCCTGTAGGCAATATAAGAAGTAAAAAAGAAAGTTAATCAATTAAAAAAAATTATAAAGCCTTTTTATAAATCTCCAGAAGACTATAAATAAATGGGCTACACGAATTTTGTTTTGGGCACACTATCATTTGGGCAAGACGTTCAGCACTGGAAAAAACAATATTTAGTCTGTAGGCTTATAGCACATTTCACACGTTACAATTGCTTTAGGCTACTGGTAAGATGATAATAAAAAAGAACACACTCAAACAATTAAACCAATTGGAAAGTAATAAATAATAAAATCAATTTAAAACCTAAAAAGTAAAATCTTCATTCGTTTCTGTTTATTCCAACAGCATACACTGGTTTGCAACATTATGAATTCATCTTAACGAATGAATCCGGGGGGCACAGTGTGAACCTTAAATTAACCAAGTGGTCTCAGGTGTGTGGTCACCGCTTATTATAAAACCACTGAGGCACATCGCAACCAATCAAAGCAGAGAGCCGGGAAATCCGTTTCGTAGCCTAAGTGTTAGTTCACAGTAATGGCCACGAGATGGCGCTGATACACTCTGTTCCGAGGCGTCTGGTCCCTGCGTTCTCTGCGGCCCCCGATGGAGCCAGCGGATTACAAACTCCAGTTAAGTGGCGCACTGTCCTCCTCCTCCCCATCTTTCATCCAGAGTAAACCCAGGCGCACGGAGTGCATCCTCACAGCGCTCGCCCTGTGGGAATTATAAATCAGCTCTGTTTGGCTGTCAGTGTCAAACCGAGAGAGCTCTGCAGTGTAGGGTGACGGAGGGAAACATATAGACAAAGAGAGTGAAGAGAGGGAGATGGGTCCGGAGGCGGTGAGGCATCCCTGATTGTCAAGCGGTGAAGTTCTCCTGCTCTGATCGGATCTTTTCTCCAGGTGGCTGAGGTGAGTTTTTTCCTTGCAGGACATAGGAGCACCCCAGATGGTGCATGTCTTACTCTGTGCATGAAAGATATATAGGATATTCCAAATAGTTCCCCCCTTTCCTCTGTTGTCTTGTCAATGTTGGACTTGCCTATATGATGCCTGTTTATTGCCTGGAGTATATCTTCATAGCTTGTGCGACTTTGTGACCAATAAAACAGACCAAAAAGCTATACAGTTTTTTAAGGCAACACAATATTATTATAAAGAAACCCACATGGATTTGAGATTATTTATTTGAGCAAATACTGGGAAACATCTTGTCGGCCACTGTTAGAAAGCTTCTGCTTTAATTTGAGTGTGTCTGAGTACTGTAAGACAAGACCAGCCCTCACTTAATTCTCTGTTTTTCTCTCTTTTCCTCTCTCCTCACTGCTTCATTCACTCTTAGCTGCCTAGCTCTTTTCTTCACTTCTTTCTCTCACTCCTAATCCCCCCTCTCACAACCTCTGTCTCCCTCACTCTCACTGGTTCTCTCCCTCTGTCAGCTCTAATAACGCTGTGAGTTGGCAACACCAGACTGCTTCACTTCTGATACTCCTCTCTGTCTTTTCTCAGACCCAGCGGCCTTTTATGTGTCCACTCTTTCAGCTGAGCATTGCTGTCACCTGTCATGATTAATATCCCATAGGCTATGTAACTTTAGCTTATGCTGCCTGTGCTGTGACTGGATGGCGATGTTACTCCTATTTGTTTGATAATCAATATGTGACAACATGTGAAATTGTCACATCGGTTATATTTACTCTACACAAGTAGTTGTGAAGGTGAACTCACACATTAACATAGTCAAGGGTCATGGCAATTCAGCTCTGAGTAATGACTGATTGTCGCAGTGTGAAAAATGAAAGCTGTCAGTGAGGGGGCTTGGAATGATTTGAAGAAATTTTACACCTCCCAGCAATCAGTTATTACTATCCTGTTTTTTTCTGGGGCATTATTTTGATTTACACACCGATCTGAGAGCATCCCTAACCCTATGCATCCAGCCTCTCATTCTGCTATTTGCACTATCTTGCATGTGACGACGGCTTGTATCAGCAGTAAAACAGTGAGCCATAAAGAAATATGTTTGGCAAATATTTTAAATGTACCATGTGATCCTATAATTTTAGGGACTTTAATACTTAAACCCCCCATTTATATATTACTTAAATATTAAAACAAACAAGTTGTCAGCTTTGGCAAATACCACTGTTTGGGACTTCCCGCCTCCCCAAAGAAACTATCACAAGATTCTGTGAAGAAGTGTGCTACGAAAATTCATTGATGCCTCTGGCAATGTGCAACACATGTGTCAGCTGATGTTTTGCTGTACTGTGAAGACAGAGTCTGCACAGAGCTCTTTATACAGTAGTTCTCACTGGAGAAATCTTCCACAACCTCTGTCACTATCAGTGTCATCTACTGTCAACCGGAACATACAGGCATCTGCTGCTTGCTGCACACACACATACACTTACACACACAGATGAAGCAATGAACCACCATGCACTGTAACACGTACTGAAATACAAATAACCATACACCATCAACACCCGTCTGTCACACACCTGTCCCGTCCCTCTGTCAGTGTCCGTTTGTCTGTGTACAGCCCATTCAGCATGCTTAGCTAAAAATAATCACCGGCAGCCAACGCACACATAGAACATGAATTATGAAAGACAGAGGGAAAGACAGAGAGAGACATTCAGGTCAGAGTCAGACCCAGTTCCAGGAGCTTCACTCCCTGAGGATACTACTAGACCACTGCATTAATATTCAGTTTGTAGCATCTAGCACAACAGACCTGTGGTTATTCTTTAGTTTGGAATGACTGGACTTGAGGCTACTTGAGGTGTCAACCGAGTATTCTACATTCCTTATGATCTGGGGAAATGGATCCATGCATTTTGAGAAAAGTTACATAAAAAACACTGCTCCTATTGTAATAGTTAACCATTTATAACTTGGGTTAACAAGCACGTTTCAAGTGTA